CCCCCCCCCGCCATCCCTCTCTGGGTCAGTCCAGGCCCGGGACCCCTTGGGAGGTGCTTAGAGACTTTTCCTTCAAGCGAAAGGGCCTTTTCTGCTTGCTGCCTTTCTACACCCTCTCTCTAGAGAGGCAAATCACCACCCCACTAGGCCTGTGCTCGTGTGCACGACCCTCGGGTGAACGACAGTGTCTGAGTGTCCTGCCGGTCGTTTTCTCTGTCCTTGTGAACCGATGTGTCTGTCCCACGCGGATATGCGTGCACCATTTGGAGTGCCTTACATTCGTGTGGAGGCGTGTGAATTCGTTTGGTTTCCTGGGCACTTGTTTTGCCCGTGTGTACTTGCATGTGCGCGGCCCGTGAGTGTGGTTGACTTTGTGTGTGTCTGCTGACCTGCGTGTGCTCTGCTGTCTGCGCCCTGCTCAGGTTCCGGGTTAGTTTAACTTGAGTGGCCTCGTGGGCCTGTGTGCACGCTTGGACGGATTTCGACTCTGCACACAGAGCTTTGGGCTTGTGTGTGCAAGTTGAGGGATTATGCCTCGAATAAAGTTTTTGGAGGTCGCTTTCCTCGAGGCCCGCCTGCCGGCCTCACCTTGCCTTGTGGCTTGGAGCGTTCTATCCCAGGTGGGCGGGTACCAAGTGTGCACTCCCCGGGCTCTCCTCTGGGCGGGCAGCCGCTGACCTCCGGGTGCCCCAGGCCAGGCTGGGAAAGCGGGATCCCGAATTTGGGCGGTCCCCGCAGATCACGCAGCTTAAGATCGACAACAACCCGTTTGCCAAGGGCTTCCGGGACACCGGGAATGGCCGGCGGGAGAAAAGGTGAGGGTGTACGGGACCGGCCAACGGCGGTGCCTGGGGGAACAGGACGTGGAAGGGGGCGGTGGGGGTGCTGCGCTGCGCTCTGACCCGCTCCGTCCGCTTATCCCCAGGAAGCAGCTAACGCTGCCGTCGTTGCGCTTGTACGAGGAGCACTGCAAGCCAGAGCGCGACGGTGCCGAGTCGGACGCCTCGTCCTGCGACCCTCCCCCCGCGCGGGAACCGCCACCCTCCCCGGGGACAGCGCCTAGTCCCCTGCGCCTGCACCGGACTAGAGGTGCGGATCTGGCGGGAAAGAGAAGGGGAGGGTGTCCACCGGGCGCCAGGTGGCTCGGTGCTCCACATCCGGCTAACTTAAGGCCTGGGAGAAGCGTCAGCAGTGAGCCTGGGAGGCCTCTAACCCAGGACTCTCCTGTGAGGGTGGTCCCAGGTGGCCCACAGATCCTGCTGGGCTCCGAGGTAGGGCCCTGGCGCTGGGTGACTCTGGGGCAGTAAGGTTTTCTCTACCGGGTTCACTTTCTCCCACTGCACATAAGGGGTCTTGGATGAGGTGACCTACAAGTGCCCCTAGCCCGACGAGCACCTAGAAGCCCCTCCGACTTGGCATCCCCGAGAGCAGGCTTTCGCACGTCTCTCCGGCCCGGCGCCGACACCGGGAGAGGCTTCGCGCCTGTCTCTCCCGGGCCCTAACCCCGCGCGTC